ATTCTATACCTAGATAGGCCAGATGAAGAGAGCGGGGGCAACAATTAACAATTCGACGTGCGTGAGATTTTGTATTTCTTGGGAGTCACGGTTTAGTGAAGAAGGCGTTGGCCGAGAAGGTTCTCAGGATTATCCCGTGTGGCTTTCCATTGTCAGTGATGCTGAGTGGATGGCCTGGAAAAAACAATACGTCCAGTTCGGATGTGTTGATAACCCGAGGTCTGATGTACACGTTGGCATTCACGCAAGGGTACGCCTTAGCGCCGCAGTCGGTGAAAATTCCCCCCATAGCACACTGCTTGGTACAAAAAAGTGGGACATTAAACCCTAGTTCATTTAATTTGTATATCTGCAGACAGTTAGACCGCACTATGATAATAACTTAATGTACAATTAACCGGTTTTATCTGCTAACAAAACTTTGAAACATCTCCTTTAATTCAGATATTTTAATATTAAAATAAGATCTGATGTGATGGGCTTTCATAACAATATCTATTAGATAAAACCATAAACCTGATAGTGTATGCAAGTCAATCAATGATCCTGTAATAACCCCGACAGCTGTTACGACTTTCATTACCACGGGAAGCCGAGTGTCGGCCATGTCAAATTAAGCGCCACCTATCAACATATCGACTGATTTGCTTATAAGATATATAATAACTAAGTACGACCTCTTGGGCTTACTGGAGCCGAAAAATCGGGTTTATGACGGATTGGCCAAGGGAAAGTGGACCGGACTAGCCACAGTGGTTCCACGTGCTACAAGTGATTGACATGCAATGGATTTAAGAAATTGAAATGCTAGTATTACTGCTATATATAGTAGAATGGAATTATTATCAATAATGTTATATATGAGGCTATAGATTAGTTATATAGGTTTCTACAATAACATCCACATAACTAGACTAGAGTTTTAATTATGTAATCATAGACACAAATGGACCACAAATACTTCTATTTAGTATTGGGTAAAATATTTGATTAATTCCACAATATTAATAACAAAAATCAAAAACGTGTTTAAAGGTGACGTCCCATTTCTTTGTTTTTAAAAATAGATATCCGTCCGCGTATGCAAATCAAACACGCGACATTCAGATACCGTTTGTAAACTTGACAAGTTAATTATAATACAAAAATAACCTGCACAATTCTGTTACTCTCTGGAAAACAGTTAAAAATATGAAAGTATAGATGGAGCTGTCACTGCGTATGCCTCTGAGATAGAGACACGTTTATCCAGTTCACGGTGACTGATAGTCAAGAAGCTCGAATGTACCTGACAAATGGAGGTAACATCTCTTTAAAAACGTATCCTTGAGCTGCAGATAGTTTCTTGGTATATGAATTGAAGCTTTCTAAGAATCTTCTACAAAGATTCAACCAGTTGTATCCACTGAAATATATCTGGGAATTCCCCCCTTAAATATAGATTCCCGCCAAGCATACTGGATCTGCACAAATTATTAAAATGGTTGAATTCTAACGGAATTTTAAAAATTCTTAAGTTCTTCTATTAATGTCATGCAGCCATCTGCATTTTGGTTCAATGTATCATTAAAATTACACAAAATATATTCATTGGCCATTTCATCGTTCATGTAAGTGACTACCATTCTGCACTCATAATAATTTCGGGAATAAACTCAATATTCTCGAAGTAAACTTAGTAGTATCGAGTAAAAATGTCGAAGAAGGAATTGAAATGTCAACCAGTGGAGCTAATTGTAGACAGATAGTGTAAGTTTCGTATTAGGTACCACACCAACCAAGAATCGTCCATTTTCCTGGACTCTTTGTCAGCTACCACCATACAAAATTCATTTGGCACATTTCAAGTAAAGAAATGATATCGATACCGTGTCCATTCAAAAATTAGTATTTGGTTTAAACTATATTTTATTGAATAACTTTACAGATAACTAATATATGTTTAATGTTCAAATCCGCGTCTTTCTTCATATTCATAAACCAACCTATTCAAATATTGTACGTAATACATCCTTATACATGCAGTAATTGAAATGAAATGGGGTTTAACGTCCTACTGTTCTGCTCCGAACTGGGCCAATGAAGACGGGCATACGCCCTACAGTGTGCTATGAGGGAAATTTTTCCCAGACAGCGGGACTACGGCCTACTCTTATATCGAGTTCCAAATAGCATGGGATCTTTTACGTGCACGCCAATGTGTACACGGGACCTCGGTTTTTCATTCCATTCGAATAACTAGACATCTGTCCTTGCCAGGCCCTCCGTCCTGCATCACTGACAAGGGAGAACCATGCCGGAAAATCTGATGAACTTTCTCGGCCAATGCAGGGATCGAACACCCGACCCAGAGGCGGATTGGTCGAACAAAAAATGAAAAAAATAATTTTGCCCAATTCGTCTAAAAAAACCTTTTCCTGCTGAACATTATATAGGATGGGGGGGGGGGGGGGTATGGACCGGCCATGGAGCGATGATGATCATGTTGTATGTGGCCGGTGGCTTTAACGGGCCGCCACGCCATCACTGGAATCTGGAATGGGCTGGTATAACAGACTTTCTGGGCCGGGTGTGCTGGGTGTGGGCCGGAATTCGGAATCCTGCAATAGGGATTTCGAATTTCATCCGAAAATTTCATCGAATTCACCCGACACTGTCGCCCGCAAATTTACTAATTATTAAGTCACATGCACCCTGTTTGTGGGAATGCACCAGAAACGTCTGCCGATGGTTCGTAACTCCAAAAATATTCAATTTTAAGGCCTCAGCAAAATTTGATGATAGCTGGTCTGCTGGCTGAATATGTGTCCGAGACGATTTCCTGAGGCTGGTGTTTAAAAACATTCCTTGACATTTTATTAACTCGTTATTTTCAGAGATGAAATTACAGAATTGGGATGTCGGGAATGGGTCTCAAATTGCGGGAAATGGCCTCCCATTTCCAAAAATTCAAAATGAATTGTGTCCCGTACGCCTATGCATGTCCGCTCCCACTCCGTCAAGGCCACCTGTTATTCAGTACTTCATAACTGGTTAATAAAATGGTCAAAATTTTCTCAACTTTTTCCCATTTTTTAACCAGTTAAATTCTATTGACTCTTGACTCTTGACGATACAATGATAATATGTTAATTAATAATATGACGATATGATAATTTCACAGGTTGATGGTTGTAAATTATTTGCAGGTCGGGGTTTTGGCCTAAATTAATCGATTTATGAGATATATTATTTGACAGAGATTATAATCAGATATGCTACCAAATCGCATATTTGGGGTTCATTTTTCAAAAATATCTGTTTGACAAAGGGTCGTCCTCGTGCTTGTCGGCCATTCAACGTCAGGGGCGGATTGGGGCCGGGAACCAGCCCGGACCCCCCGTTCGGACCCCGCGGTCAGTAAAAGGGGCCGCTCCGACACGGGAGCCTGGACCGGTTCCCGGCCCCAATCCGCCCCTGACCCGACCTCCAGGCTAGCATATAGCAATTAGTGCAGGAGAACCACACTATATACACAAAACCAAACCTAGCAGACACGCTAGGCGAATTTCTGTCCGAATCAAACGGCACCGAATTGATTCGGCTGAATGATTTGGCGTCAAACTATACAGAGATTGCAAGAAATAGACGTAACCAAAACAATTGAAAATACAGTTATTTTTTTGTTCCCGATTTGCATTTTTTTTTTTTGGATTCATTTGTACAGCACCACGACAGTCATCGTCTTCATGATCATCATTATCGCCAACACCACCAATAGCATCATACCGACAACGACCAAGGGGGTGATGCTTGTTGTTATGATGTTAGCGATGACTATGATTCGCCATGACAAGAATCTACTTCCGATCACAAGTTGCCCAAACTGTAGTTAAATAGGAAATAATGGCAGAATATTACCAAGAGAAGTTATTGCTAGATGAAATACTATTCAGTTGTGATGTATTCCGGTTGAAATTAGACTCCGTTATATACCCGTATCGTCACGTTGTCTGCAGAAAACCAATAAACAATGCATCCAATTTACATGTGGGACATATCAACACGCCATGATAACAGATAATGGAAGCAATATCAATAAGAAGTTAAGATTTGATCGTCAACCGTTGTATCTATCGTAACATTAACATACTTGGTACAATATAAAAGAGGGGGCGTTGGTATAATTGTGATATCAATCTACATTGCAACTAAAATGAAATGGGATTTGTATAGGTTTGTGTGTGTGGGGGGGGGGGGGAGGGGGTATGCGTTTCCTCTCCTGCTCACACAACGCATATTTGCTCCTACATTCATTGAAGTAACCTCGACCAAAGTAACGTGTGAAGCATTACATGCAACTAATTGAGCAGAGATATTGTCTCCGAGATTCTGATCCCCCAGACCTCTCGCCTAACTTAAACTTCTCTCCCCCTTTGACCCCTCCACTCCCCACGCTGCTCAAATTCCTGGGCACGCCTTGGTTTAACGTCCTACTTTCCTGCTCCATCGGGGTAGGACATTAACAATCATCAAAATTTGATAACAATCCGAAGACCACAAACAACGAAAGTGCGTCGGCACTGTGTTAGAGACAACATTGTCCAGGCACTAGATCATTCTAATCAAGGGAGCCACGGTGGCTAAGTCGGCAAGACGCTGGCTCACTGGTCTGGTGGTCGCGTGTTCGATCTCTGCATTGGCCGACAAAGTTCATCGGAATTTTCCGGCGTGGTCTCCCCTTGGCAGTGGTGCAGGACGGAGGGCCTGACAAGGACAGTTGTCTAGTCGCTTGGGTTGTATCAAAAACCGAGGTCCCGTGTTTACATTGGGGTGCACGTAAAAGTTCCTTTAGCAGTTTGAATTCGATATAAGAGTAGGCCATAGTGACGCTGCCTGGGCCAAATTTCCCTCATTGCACGCTGTATGAGGTATGCCCATCTTCATTAGCCCAGTATACAAGCAGAAAAGAAGGACGTTAAACCTCATTTCATTTCACTCTAATCAAGAACATCGTCCCCAACGCCACGGGTATTTGTATTTATTCACATATTTGCTTGAGATACGATTAACATAGCTGATTTCATTTTAGCTAAAATTTCAAAGGTGTGCTGACTGACTGTTAGTAATTGCTCGTCTATTAAATTTACATTTATATCACAAACAATTGACATCATATCAAAAATCGATGTATCCTACTTCCAAAATTTAAAAAAAAAAATAATATCCTCAATCCTCATTGAGACATAGTTGTTGATACGACCGGGTTTTGCGCTACAAGAAAATCTATCTCAGAATAATTGCCGCCACATGGGCGTGGTGAGGATTGACATTCACCAATGTTATTCATTGAAATAAAGCTGGGATTTGTCCTTTAACAAGCTATGGTGGACAGTTGACCGGACAGGTCGAAGAAACTATAAGATAGCATTAAAAGGTTTCCTAATAAAAATTCTTGGTGCAGACAAGCTGACTGAGATGTTGCTTTGCATAATTACGCCCTACCAGGTTTTATCCAATATTTAAATTTCTTTTACAGCTATCAAAACATTAAATATCAGCTCTTCACATGAAACAAAGCGTTCCTCTGGGTCAATCACTTGATCCCATATCATAAATCGGTTCCATCCATGACCGCTTCCCGGAATGTTAAACGTAAACTCCCCTTCTTCCGTCATTGCGTCGTCATGACCTGAACCATTTCTCAGGAGCTGGACCCGAATGAGTGCATCCACTGGAGTACTATCTCCATCCCCGATACTACAATACACGCCGAACTGCTCAACCGGATGGGGCCTATTTCTATCATCCTTCCATCTTTTAACATCGAGTCTGAACGAATGATTACCTATCTCACAAACACGACTCCTGTGGAGTGTCCCAAGTTTCAAATCAGCGTTGAACCTTTCTTGAAATTTACCTATTTGTGTCCCATTCAATTTACCAAGGAGATCATCAACAGCAGGGGGGGTTGCTTCGGTAGTGTTTAAGTCCATATTCTTATAATACCGATATGGGATTCGCGTGTTGTAGATGGCATTGATGTCTTCTGTCAATAAGGGTACGGCTTTCATCATGTCCACTTCATGCAACGTGTCTATTTTCTCAAGCTTCTCTGCAACAACAAGAGTATCTGTATGTGAACCATGTAACTCTTTCATTACTTTAGTTAGAGGAGCCAATTCCGTTTCAAGGTTATCAGTTACCGACCCCTTCAGCCTAGATTGCATTAATTGTACCGTCTGTATTATCTCCATAGCTTTTTGGTCAATCATTTGCAATTGCACTTCCGATCTTTCCCTTCTTTCTATTTTTGATTCTTCGCATTTGGCCATTTCTTGTTTTAGATTATTTTGGGCAGACAACAATTTATCCTGCAAGTTCCCAAAGACAACTTTAGCCTTTTCTATGGCATCATCAATATCTTCGGCAGTGTGGTTCCCATGGAATAGCATTTTACATTTCATACAAATCGGCTTGGAACAGTCCATGCAATAAAACTCTACTTTATCTTTTGGGTGTTTCGTGCAGTATCTATGCTGGTTAACAGACTCTAGAGATATCTCTTCATTCAAACTGTGGACGCAGTGATCTTTACAGGCAGTTAATGAATCGTGTGTTGTTTTACAACTGTCACACAAATTTTGGTCGCAATTTGTGCAAAACCATATGGCACCTTTCTTCATGCAGTTGTCACAGCTGGATCCTTGTCTCCTCTTTTGTTCCGACTTACCATCTACGAAGAAATTTGTTGTAAGCTCCGAAACTCCGCCAGGGGGTATTTTGTGGACTTGTCGACACTGAGGACATGTTAGAAGGTTGGTAGATTCAATCATCTGATCAAGACAGCCCAGGCAACACGTATGAAAGCATGGTAGAAACTTTGGTTTGGTAAAAATCTTTAAACAGATTGCACACTCAAGATGATCGTCGTCGCTTTCCATATTTTATCCTGAAAGTAAATCAGATAAATTTTTAATTAAGGCTTAATCAATTAAAGGTTAACGAGTACATAGAGGGGTCATAATTTTGCTTAATCGTCCATAGGTTAAAGAGGGCATTGAGGGGCTATAACTATAATTTTTGTGTGTTTTTAAATTATGATATGTGTCTTCTCTACGTCTACATACTTAAAATTAGTATAGGGAATACAGCAGTCTCTTGATTACCTCAACCACACTCACATAATATATAATGATCTTAATTGAACAGAACCCACGTAATATATAATAATCTTGAACCACACTACCGTATACTATTGATCTGCAATGTACTCATTGAGGAGCCACGGTGGCTAGGTGGGTAAGGCGCTGGCTCGCTAGCCTGGAGGTCGGGTGTTCGATCCCTGCATTGGCCGAGAAAGTTCATCCCGATTTTCCGACGTGGTTTCCCCTTGTCAGTGATGCAGGACGGAGTGCCTGACAAGGACAGCTGTCTAGTCCTTCGGATGAGACGAAAAACCGAGGTCCCGTGTGTCATAATATGTATATTATTACTCATAGTATAATGAGTTACTCGGGTGGTATATTACTACTCATAGTATAATGAGTTACTCGGGTGGTAATTAATCTGTTTAACATGTGACCTCAGGTCCACTTATCTTGTATATCTCACTCTTCGGGTAGACACGCTTCGATCAACATCTTATTGTAAGACCTGTGTGATTCGTTAATAAACATTAAACTTATATGAGTTGTTAATGAGTTTCACAAGTATGAAGAAGCATAACATGGTGTCAGAATAATAAAAAAGACGAACTTAGCGCCATAGACGAAGAGCCAGACACAATTTACAGATGCACAAGTTTTGATGTTTATACAATGACGAGGATCACGCCAAGGACACGGCAGACATTTTGAATGTTGACGGTCAAGACAAACTTTCACGGAATCGTAAGTTATATAAACTACAATGAAGTTTAGGACGCATTGATATATATTTTATATTTAAACGACAAATTAGTCAGCCCGCCAATTCGAGCAATTTGAATACGGACGGAGACCATATTTAGAAACTGTATTTAACTTACTCGTTGTGACGTGAGCTGAACTCAACCACACTGGTTGTACTAGAGACGTAGACATAATCAACATTATTAGTGTTGATATTTTCCAAACATCGAAATGGCAGAATTGACAGGGGTACCAATTCCTTCTCTAGATTGGAAATCCAGTAATCTTCCAGAGGCTTTCAGAAAATTTAAGCAAACATGTGAATTCATTTTTAATGGCCCACTATCTGAAAAAACTGAAGTCGTAAAAGTACAGTACTTGATGCTTTGGGTAGGAGAAGAAGGACGAGATATCAGAAGGGTGGACTCTAACAATTGACGATAAAACGAAATTACAGCCACATTGGACGCGGTTTGAGAATTATGTTAAGCCAAAATCCAATTTTCGAGTAGCTCGTTTTCAGTTACGTGTACTCAGACAAGGACATAACGAAACTGTAGATGCATTCATCACACGTGCAAAGATAATAGCTGCAGATTGCGAATATATGAACACACAAGAACAATTGTTAGACACACTTATCACTGCAGTGAACAATGAAACGGTCCAAAGGAAACTTATTTCGCGTGATGCTGACTTGACTCTGGACGAAGCATTAAAGATTGTTAGATCATTCGAAGCGACACAAGCACAAACGAATGAAATACAGGATACAAAGAAAATAAACAGTGTTTCACGGTTAGACTTGACCCAAAAGAACAATCATTGGCGTACTAGATCACAAGGCAGGCAAGGTCATGATAGACAATCAAGACTTCCTCACAGACTAGGCCAGTGTTGGAACTGTGGAACAGATCATCCTCGAAACGTCAGATGCCCTGCATATGGTTCAAGGTGTAATGAATGTGGAAAAGAAAACCACTGGGGTAAAATGTGTATTACTAAGAAAAGACAAAATATTAATTATAGACGATTTACTTCCAGGTCTAATTCCAGCCGCCGAAATGATTTGAACAAGAAGAAAGTACACACTGTCAGCCAGGAAGAGGAGAATGATGTTCTTACTGATGATTTTACACATTTTGTACTTAACGTTATCGACGTTGAGAACAGAGGTAAGACTACCGATACCTGTAATATAGAAGCCATGCATACAGAGACAATTGACAATCACGTCCATCGTGATCAGGCCTTTGCAGTACTCGAAATTGAAGATGATATTAAAGGTCAATGTACTGTAAAGTGTAAAATTGACACAGGTGCACAGCCGAATGTAATGCCAATACGAATATTCCGTCAACTTTATCCTGAACAAATAAACAAGGTGAACCAATTAATTTAAACCGGTCGAAAATTAAACTTAAAGCTTACGGTGGCCACGACATCAAAGAATATGGACTTTGTCAACTAAACTGTTCTCATAAGGGAAGAAAATTAACTATAGATTTTCATATAACGGAAGCTGATGGATATACAATGTTAGGTCTTCGCTCCAGTAAGATTATGGGGTTAATAAAATTACAGTGTGAAACTAGCCACGATTGTCAGATTTGTCATCAACCATGCGATATATTAGAAGTTAACCAAGATATTAAATTAGGTAAGAGGCATAGACCCAAAATCTGAGTTGTTGAAAATGTATCCGAAATGTTTTGAAGGTGTAGGATTATTCCCAGGTGAATATCAAATACAACTACGACCTAATTATGAGCCAAGTATTCAGCCACCAAGACGTGTTCCAGAATCTTTGAAAGAACCGCTTAAGAAAGAACTACAGCGCATGATTGACTTAGAAGTCATTGAAAAGGTTGATTGTCCTACAGAATGGGTTAATAGTTTAGTATATGTTACCAAACCAAATGCAGATTTAAGAATCTGTTTAGATCCTCGGAACCTCAACAAATGGATTAAACGTCCACACCATTATACACCAACTCTAGATGATAATTTACCAAGACTAAGTAAAGCCAGAGTATTCAGTATTTTGGACGCCCGTTCTGGATACTGGAACGTAAAGTTACACGAAGAATCCAAATACCTAACAACGTTTAACACGCCATATGGACGATATTGCTTTAAGAGGCTACCCTTTGGTCTTATTTCAGCGCAAGATGTGTTCCAGAAAAAGGTAGACCAGACATATGAAGGACTAGTAGGGGTAATTGGGATTGCAGATGACATAGTAGTTGATGGATCGAACTATGAAGAACATGACCGACATTTGATAGAAATGATGGAACGAACCATGGAAAGGGGAATTCGTCTCAATCCGGATAAATGTAACATTAGAAAGAATCGTATTAAATTCTTCGGTAATTATCTCACAGAGAATGGATTGGAACCGGATCTTGATATCTGCAATCGTAGAAATGAAACCGCCAGCGACAATCACAGAATTACAGTCATTACTAAGAATGGTTAATTATCTATCAAGATTTATACCAAATCTCGCCTCAATTACAGCACCACTGCGAGATCTGACGAAAAAAGATGTTGAATATGGTTGGGACGAAAACCATGAAGTCAGTTTTCAAAATCTGAAGAAAGCTATTACATCAACAGATGTGCTCTCATACTTTGACTCTACAAAGCCTGTTACTTTGCAGACAGACGCAAGTAAACGAGGACTTGGTGCAGCTTTGTTTCAACATGGACGACCTATTGCTTACCCCAGTAAAAGTTTGACAGAAACTGAAAGCAATTACTGTAATATAGAAAGGGAAATGCTTGCTCTAGTTTTTGGACTAGAACGCTTTCATCATTATGTATATGGACGACATATTCTGATAGAAACTGACCATAAGCCAATCGAGAGCATCGTAAAAAAGAATTTAGCCAACGCACCACCAAGACTTTTGCGAATGTTGCTACGGATTCAGAAGTATGATTTTGACGTGAATTATGTTCCAGGTAAGGATATCCCCGTAGCAGATGCCCTTAGTAGAATACCTATTAATGGACAAGAAATCCAGGACATGGATGTGACGATACACGAATTAGTGAATGTTTCCAGAGATAGACTTGACCAGATTCGAGAATATTCACTCAAGGACGCGCAACTAATTTCTCTTAGAAATGTGTTATTAACAGGGTGGCCCGACTTACGCCAGAGATGCCAGCAAACCTTGTTAGATTTTTGGACGTATAGGGACGAATTGAGTATATATGATGGTATTTTATTGAAAGGAGACAGAGTAATCATACCAAATACGTTTATTAGCGATAATGGACCGCAGTATACTTCATTTGATTTCAGTCAATTTTCAAGGGAATATGGGTTTAAACACGTGACCAGCAGTCCTTATCACCACCAGTCAAATGGAAAGGCGGAAAGACATGTAGGAATTGTTAAGAAATTACTTCAGAAATGTTTAGAATCTAAAGATCCTGATATGGCGTTATTATGTCTAAGGACCACTCCTTCATCACATCGCATACCATCACCAGCAGAAATTATGTTTAATCGAAAGTTACAGTCTAACCTTCCTGTGATTAATTTTGATCGATCGTCAGGTGATATAAAACTGAAGTTAGAAGAACGAAGAGAATCGTATCAACGACAGTATGATAAAACTAGTAAACCACTATCTAATTTAGAGCCTGGTCAGAATGTCCGTATGCAGAATCCTATAACGATGAAATTGGAACAAGCAGTAGTTAAAGAAAAGTGTACAGAACCCAGATCGTACGTAGTACAGCAACCCTCTGGCAGAAGTTATAGACGTAACAGAAAATTTCTAAGAAGTACAGGCGAATCGTTCAAAACTGAATCTAATAGTGAGGATGATGTTCCTGATCGTAATGGTTTAAATGGTAATGGTCTAAATGGTAATGGATTAAGTGGTAATGGATTAAGTGGTAATGGATTAAGTGGTAATGGATTAAATTGTAATGGATTAAATGGTAATGGTGTTTCCGCAGAATCAGGTGCCGGGAATGGTGGATACGTTACCAGATCAGGAAGAACAGTTAAAATTCCGAATAAACTTGAATTATAATAAATTTATAAAATTATTTTCCAATTAAATTATCTTACGAAGGGGGATGTCATAATATGTATATTATTACTCATAGTATAATGAGTTACTCGGGTGGTATATTATTACTCATAGTATAATGAGTTACTCGGGTGGTAATTAATCTGTTTAACATGTGACCTCAGGTCCACTTATCTTGTATCTCACTCTTCGGGTAGACACGCTTCGATCAACATCTTATTGTAAGAGTTGTGTGATTCGTTAATAAACATTAAACTTATATACTATTCAAAAAAAGTTGGGGATATTTGATTTTTAAGTGTTATTAAAGTCACCTAATGAAACTGACGAAGAAACAAATGACAAAATGAAATGAAGTTCACATTCATCGATTTATTCCAAATGATCGTTAGACTAAGTAAGGCACAGACTGACCATTATAAGGGTAAAATGATACCCGGGGTCAAACAGCAAAGTTACCACAGCATCACAACCAAGTCAGTAACGGGTAAATCCTCCTCTGTTTGCCAAACAAGCATTGCTCCGACGTGGCATACTCCTAATGAGACGTCTAAGGTCATTTTGGTCCAGATTGTCCCATTCCTGTTGCAACGCAGCAGCAAGTTCTTGGACATTGGCAGGACGTTGTTGACGTTGACGTAACCTCTGTCCAAGCATGTCCCAGACATGCTCGATGGGGGAGAGGTCGGGACTCAGTGCTGGCCAAGGTAATGTGGTGATGTTCTGTTGTTGGAGGTAACCTGTAACGATCCTGGCCCTGTGACATCTTGCGTTGTCATCCTGGAAGATGACACGGCGGCCATGACGTCGTGCGAACGGCACAACATGGACTGCCAAGATGTTGTCCCGGTAGTACTGGCCTGTAACACGCCCTGCAACAACATGTAAAGCCGTTCTTCCAGCAACAGTGGTGCCTCCCCACACCATAACGTTAACGTCTTGGAAGCGCTCGTTTCGACGACGCCACACCCTCCTACGTCTGTCCAAAAAATCAACAGTGAACCTTGACTCATCTGAAAACATCACATTGCTCCAGCGTCGATTATCCCAGTGTTGACAATCCCTACACCAACGACGTCTTGCCTGAATGTGATGATCTCTCAAACAAGGGATCACGCGAGGACGTCGGGCGCGAAGGTGACCCCTATGCAGTCGATTCCGAATCGTCTGGCCACTCACTCTCACACCAGTGTCTGTTTGAAGACGAGCGCTGATCTGATTTGCTGTGATGACACGATTTCTCAAGGCCAAGGTACGGATAAATCGATCCTGGGCTTGAGTTGTCGCCCTTGGTCGACCTGAGCGTGGTCTGTCCTGTACAGATTGTGTATCACGGTATCTGGACCACAGCCTGCTTATGACAGACTGAGAAACATTCATCGTCCGCGCCACAACCGCCTGTGTTGTGCCGATCTGTAGCATGCCAAGGGCACGTAACCTTTCATTTTGGGTAAGCCGACGCATATCAAAATTTGTTTTCTGGTCACTAAAACAATTAAACTGATGTTTCCACCCTGGAATTCAATGCCACAATGACTGTAACATTCTAAGTCAGAGTCGTGCAAATCTTGGGTTTGACCCCCATGATGATCCCAAGCATCACCTGCATTCCATGCGGTAGCTATTGGTGCGTCTGGGCGTCACATGTAACTGGAAATGTTTCTTCTGTTAGGTTCTATAGTGACTTTTTTCGTAGTCATTTGCATATTTTAGTATTTTGATCGAACCGTAGCGTGACACCTATTTATACTTCAATTTCAGCTTGTACTTTCGATTTTATGTTTTACCAATCCAACGACAATATCAGACATTAGTGGGATACAAAATCACCAACACACCAGCCGTTAAACACAGGTTAACCCGCCCGTTTGTAAACGGTGTGGGGTCGAATATTTGGAACACCTTAGTCCACCTTTAACAAGTGTGAACGGGGTGGGAGGGAGACGGGTATTTCGATCTCGTAGGTCAAGGTTATAAAGAGATTAAATAGATGATGACTATGGTTATGGTTAGGGTTTAAACTTCGTACATACAGGACACTGAGAATCCCGATAACCTATTGACTTGTGAAAAAACACCTATTTTATTAAATAGATAATCTTGATACATATGTTGTAGGCTACTTATCTCTATTAAATTTTTTATACTCACTAATTTCTCTCCCCAACTCTCTCTCTCTGTACTATGTGTTGTCAACAACAACAGGTTTATAACTTTAAATAGTAACACACGCTCTGATCACAAAAGAAAACTACGAACATGGCTTTCCAAGAAGTCAACTAGTTTCACTTTCATGTGTGTTACTAAATTAGTTTTGGAAAAGGAAGTCCTACTTTCGATTTATTTAATACACGTCAGCAACAAGCGTATTAAACTATTGGTGCGTCTGGGCGTCACATGTAACTGGAAATGTTTCTTCTGTTAGGTTCTATAGTGACTTTTTTCGTAGTCATTTGCATATTTTAGTATTATGCCCCCAAAATCAAATATCCCCTACTTTTTTTGAATAGTATATGAGTTGTTAATGAGTTTCACAAATATGAAGAAGCATAACACCGTGTAAACATTGGAATGCACGTAAAAGATCCCTTGGCAGGTGGAATTCGATATAAGAGTAGGCGATAGTGCCGCTGCCTGGGCAGAATTTCCCTCATAGCACACTGTATGGCGTATATGCCCGTCTTCATTAGCCCAGTATAGGAGCAGAACAGTAGGACGTTAAACCCCATTTCATTTGTACTCATTGACCCAATGTAGTTCAGAAGACTTTTGATCGAACCGTAGCGTGACACCTATTTATACTTCAATTTCAGCTTGTACTTTCGATTTTATGTTTTACCAATCCAACGACAATATCAGACATTAGTGGGATACAAAATCACCAACACACCAGCCGTTAAACACAGGTTAACCCGCCCGTTTGTAAACGGTGTGGGGTCGAATATTTGGAACACCTTAGTCCACCTCTAACAAGTGTGATCGGGGTGGGAGGGAGACGGGTATTTCGATCTCGTAGGTCAAGGTTATAAAGAGATTAAATAGATGATGACTATGGTTATGGTTAGGGTTTAAACTTCGTACATACAGGACACTGAGAATCCCGATAACCTATTGACTTGTGAAAAAGCACCTATTAAATAGATAATCTTGATACATATGTTGTACTTATCTCTATTAAATTTTTTATACTCACTAATTTCTCTCCCCAACTCTCTCTCTCTCTGTACTATGTGTTGTCAACAACAACAGGTTTATAACTTTAAATAGTAACACACGCCCTGATTACAAAAGAAAACTACGTACATGGCTTTCCAAGAAGTCAACTAGTTTTACTTTCATTTGTGTTACTAAATTAGTTTTGGAAAAGGAAATCCTACTTTCGATTTATTTAATACACGTCAATCACATAACACGTCAGCAACAAGCGCATTAAACAATCATGGTCCCCTATGGATTAACCATTAAGCAAAATAAGCACATGCTTAGGGCATCATGGGGACGGGGGACAAATTTAAAATATGTAGGCCTAATTGTTTTCTTCTTCCTTACGTTGCACCAACTGTTAAATGTTTAGGGCTTCTACTGGTCTTAATCCGGCGCCGTGACGACACCAGGTACGCTCTACTAAGACAGCAATCAATAACGATATTTTTGCATATTTACGAAAGCCTTCCTCAATCTGTGGACGTATGATAGTTATATTGCCATTGCTTATTAATATATTTACGAAATTGTGTGATCGAGCTTTTGCAACCGAGGCTTGACAACCGAGGCTAAGTTGGATTATCCGTTTTATCTTTACATTCTTAAATCTCGCGGGCGTTCTAATACATTTAAAGCTCTGTCATCCGATGTCTCTAGAGAGTGGATTATAGGCTTGTCATGTGAATAAATGTCTAAATAATAATTTATATAACATTTGAAGCCACAAAAGAGATCTTCACTATGCAGATTTAGCTCTCGCATAATGAATCCTTATAGCATCAATGGAAGGAAGAGTCTTACATTGTAAAACAGATAAGACCTTTATTGCAAAAAATATAGCTTATATTCAATATGGATTCAGCAAGGGGCTGTCACTTGGTATGCCTCTGAGATAAATAAACGTTTATCCAGTAAACGGTGACTGATAGCCAAGAAGCTCGAATGTACCTGACAAATGGAGGTAACATCTCTTTGAAAACGTATCCTTGAGCCACAGATAGATTCTTGGTTTATGAATTGAAGCTTTCTAAGAGTCTTCCACAAAGCATCAACCATTAACATTTACTAAATGTTATTGTGCTTGATAACGATAAGAGAATACTTATCGAAACGTCGTGCTTGTGTATAATAAACCAGTGATTGTTGTCCCATATAACTGTGTCAGTTTTGAAAGCATTAACCAGTTGTATCCAATGAAATATATCTTGGAATTTAACCGTAAATATAAATTCCCGCCAAGCATACTGAATCTGCACAAATTATTAAAGTTGCAATTTCATATTTTTAAGTTATATTTTTAAAATGTATTAAAATAAAGCCTTAAAATAGATGGTATCTATAAACAGTCTTACCTTGTTAAAGAATAATCCTATAAATCCTATAATTCATTATTGCCAGTTGAGAAATTGGCAAAAATATCATTTTCAACTTCAAAAGGTTATTAATATGGGAGAATTCTAACACGTCCCATTCTATTAATGTCATACAGCCATCTGCATTTTGGTAAGTAAAAACTAACTCGCGAAGCATTATCCTCTCTAATCATATACATATATGCAGCTAATTGTGAAGAAATATTGTCTGAAAGCTTTTGATTTGATAAATTATCGGGTAATCCCCCAGACCTCACAACAAACTTGACGTTTCCTCCACTTGACCCCTCCCTCCTCCTCCGTTGCTAAAATTTCTGGACGCGCACCTGGTTCAACGTTATATTCCATCCGGGTAACTAAAAGGCAGCAATAATCCGAAATATACTCAGCCAAATTAAAAACTTGACACTGATGAATTTCAACAATTTTTTTTTCTGGTAAGTCAAATAAATTTTAAAGTGTTTCTAACGATAGTAAGTAGTAAGAAGCCTTTAATTTCATAAAATTGTAAAGTCACGTGGATCACGTGACTTTTGAGCATATAAAGATGAAAAACCTGAAAAACACGTGCAAACACAAACTCGTGAGGTCAATCGATGCAAGTTTGCTTAAACTGAAAACGCACACGTAACTTGAACTGGAAAAACAAATTAAAATTGTTATTTTCATCTTTGTTAGAAAATGCCGCGCCTTTCAAATGTAGAACGTCGACGTGCTATAGGTAGGCTCTATGCTGGTCAGTCTGTGGTCACTGTTGCAAGAGCCTTTAATTGTTCACGCCAGACAATAATTAATCTTAGAATGAGAGTGCTTCAAACTGGAACTATTGCCGACCGCCCAAGGGCGGGAGCGCCACGTGGGACGTCACTCCAGGAAGATCAAGCAATACGATTATGTCATCTTAGAAACAGATTTGTCACTGCAACCTCCACAAGTAGAGAGATGTTTGGTGGAAGGGTAACTGCACAAACTGTTCGAAATCGCTTGCAGGCTGCTGGTCTTCGAGCTCGGGGGCCCTATAATGCACCAATATTGACACCTCTTCATCGCCGTAACCGACTTGTGTGGGCCACAAGACACATAAGATTTACTCAAAGACAGTGGAATTCGATTCACTTTGAGATTTGCCGATGGCAGGGTCTGAGTGTACCGCAGACAAGGTGAACGTTACGCTCAAGTATGCGTCAGAAAAGTTGACCGATTTGGTGGCGGCAGCGTTATGGTTTGGGGTTCTTTTTGTGCACATGGACGTTCTCCTCTTGTTGTTGTCCAAGGGAACTTAAATGCTGTCCAGTACAGGGATCAGATTTTGCAACCTGTTCTTCTTCCGTTTATGCAGAGACATGGGCCTGGACTAACGTTTCAGCAAGACAATGCTCGACCCCATACAGCAATTGCTACCCAGAATTTTTTAAGAAATGCCGGTGTCCAAGTCCAGGACGAACTGGGTCGACGTGTTCGTCAGTAAGTGAATCCACCACTGACGTTGCAAGACCTTCAACATGCTCTTGCTGAGCAGTGGCGACATCTTCCTTGGGTAGTGTTTACTAATGTTCTGAGATCCACGAAAAGACGTTGTGTGGCAGTACGAGACGCTAGAGGAGGCTACAACCGTTACTAAACACTTTATTCCGATTGTTCTCCAAGTCTGTTAATTTCATTTTGGGGGTTACTGTGACATCACGAACGTTATCAATGTCAAGGACTTTCGGCGAGACGTATTCTTGCTTTCTGTTGATGTCAAGGTCGTCTGTGCACAACATAACACTAAAATAGTTGCCTTAAACCAAATATTAAAAATCTAGTCCCAAAAATCCCGAGTGTCAAGTTTTTAATTTGGCTGAGTATATTTGATAGCTATCTGGAAAACAGGAAATAACAAAAGTGATTCATTACTGCGCATGCATCTGAGGTTTGATAGTTGATTGGGATAAGAATAACACAGCTGGCTATTAGTAATTACACGTGTATTATACATATATATCATGAACTTGCATATACAGAACAATTGGAATGCTATCAATTTGCCCCACCCCCAAATTTAAAATAATATCTACTATAGAATCAGTGCTGAATAGTGGTTTATACGACCGATTTATGCCCTACAAGAAAATCTGAATAATTGCGCGGGTGGGCGCGGGGATTTACATTTACCAACTTTATTCATTAAATTGAAATATATCTGGGATTTGTCTTGTATCAAACTATGGTGCACCGGACAGGTAGAAGAAAATATACGAGAGCAGTAAAAGGGGTCTTAATTAAAGTTGTTTCAATAGCATTTAGTAATTCAACTGGAGTATCCAGGCCACAGTTTTATGGAATACAATTACTGCTTATTACTGAGCGACGTTTCGACTAGGCTTCTCTAGGCATTATCAAGCAACGAGCTAGTCGAAACGTCGCTCTGTAATAAGCAGTTATTGTATTCCGTAGAATTGTGACCTGTATATTAATAAAAGTTCATGGCGCACACAGTCTTACTGAGATGTTGCTTTCCACAGTTAAACAGTACCAGAGTTTATCCAATATTTATATTTCTTTTATCAAAACATTAAATATCATTTCTCCAAATGAAACAAAGCGTTCCTCTGGGTCATTAACTTGTTTCCATGTTATAAATCGTTTCCATCCCTGGCAGCTTTTCGGTGTTTTAAATGTAAACGTCCCTTCTTTCATCATTGCGTCATCACAACCTGAACCATTTCTCAGGAGCTGGACCTGAATGAATGCATCTACGGGAGTGCGATCTCTATCCCCGATACTACAATACACGCCAAGCTGCTCAACCGGATGAGGCCTATTTCTATCATCCTTCCACCTGTGAACATCCAGTCTGAACGAATGATTACCTATCTTACAAACATGACTCCAGCGGTGTTTCCCAAGTTTGAAATCAGCGTTGAACCTTTCTTGAAATTCGCCTATTTGTGTTCGATTCAATTTACCAAAGATATCTTCGACAGCAGGAGGGGTTGCTTCGATAGGGTTGAAGTCTATGTTCTTAATATACCGAGATGGGATTCTCTTGTTGTAGATGGCATTGATGTCTTCTGTCAACAAGGGTATGAATCCCATCATGTCCACTTTATGCAACGTGTGAATTTTCTTAAGCTTCTCTGCAACAACAAGAGCATCTTTTTGTGAACCCTGTAACTTTTCCATTACATCAGTTAGATGACTCAATTCCGTTTCAAGGTTATCACTTACCGACTTCTTCAGCCTACACTGCATTAATTGTACCGTCTGCAATATCTCCATAGCTTTTTGGTCAATCTTTTGGCATTGATCCTCCGATCTTTTCTTTCTATCTGTTTTTGATTCTTCGCATTTGACGATTTCTTGTAATAGCATATTTTGGGCAGACAACAATTTATCCTGCAAGCTTCCAAAGACAAGCTCCTTGGCATCGTCAAGGTCCTTAGCAGTGTGGGTCCCATGGGATATAATCTTACATTTCATACAAATCGGCTTGGAACGGTCCATGCAATAAAACTCCAATTTATCTTTTGGGTGTTTCGTGCAGTATCTATACTGGTTAACAGACTCTAGAGATATTTCTTCATTCAGACTGTGGACACAGTGATCTTTACAGACAGGAAATGAATCGTGTGTTGTTTTACAATTGTCACACAAATTATGTTCGCAATTTGTGCAAAACCATATGGCATCTTTCTTCTTGCAGCTGTCACAGCTGGATCCTTGTCTCCTCTTTTGTTCCGACTTACCATCTACGAAGAAATTTGTTGTAAGCTCCGAAGCTCCGCCAGGGGGTATTTTATGGACTTTTCGACACTGAGGACATGTTAGACGATTGTTAGCTTTAATCATCCGATCAAGACAGTCCAGGCAAAACGTATGAAAGCATGGTAGAAACTTTGGTTTGGTAAAAATCTCTAAACAGATTGCACACTCAAGATGATCGTCGTCGCTTTCCATATTTTATTCCTGAAAATAAATCAGATAAATTTTTAATTGTGCTTTTAATTAACCATGGGTTAAAGAGGGCATTGAGGAGTTATAACTATAACTTTTATGTGTGCTTTAAATTATGATATTTGTCTTCTCTACATACTTAATATTAGTATAGGGGGGCATACAACAATATCTTCCCTAACTATAGGTTACCCTCCTCGGACCTCACCAACCTAATATATAATGGAACCACACCCACCTGATATATAATGATTTTGAACCACACCCACCTGATATATAATGATCTTGAACCACACCCAACTAATATAAAATGATCTGTAATGCACTCATTGACACAATTCAGTTCAGAAGACTTTTGACCGGGCCGTAGCGTGTCATCAGCTTGTAACTCAACGTGCGATTTTATGTTTTACCAATCCAACGACATAGATTCATTTTCAATGGTGCAATGTCGGACATTTGTGGGGCACAACAGTCACCAACACAACGGTCGGTTAACACGGTCTAAGACCTGTTTGTAAACGGTGCGGGTGTCGGATATTTGGAACTTAGTCCGCCTCTGGGGGGTTGGATGGCCGAATGGTTAGCACGCGCGCGCTGTATCATACGGTCTGTCATTGAGTCAACTGGCGGGGTTTCGATTCCCCGGTTGTACGTGACAAGGAGTAGGGTCGCCTGTCCAACCTCGTGGGTTTCCTCCCACTGCTAAAGACCCCTACGCGCAAGCGAATGATTGAAATTCAAATTGAACCATGTGTTAGTCCCGAAATGACCCTAGTTTGTGTCGAGTGGACGTTAAACCCCATTTCTCTCTCTCTCTCTAGTCCGCCTCTAACAAGTGTGAACGGTCAAGGTTATACACAGGTTAAATAGGTGATGACTAAACTGGTTCGGATTATGGTTTGGGTTTAAACTTTGTACATTCAGCACACGGAGAATCCCGATAACCTGCAGTTGACGTGGAAAAGCATCTATTATAGATAATCTTGTACTTATCTCTATTAAATTTAACATACCTTATTGTATACTCACTAATTTCTCTCGCTCTCTCTCTGTACTGTGTGCTGTCAACGACAACAGATAACTTTAAATAGTAACATACGACCTGATTACAAAACAAACTACACAGATCACCTTCCAAGAAGTCAACTAGTTTCACTTTCATTTCTGTTGTTCCTAAAATAGATTTGAACAAGGAAGTCCTACTTTCGATTTATTTAATGCAAAGGAATTGAATAGATTACAATGATCAATGTCTTATATAAATAAATATTATAGATTGTAATAATCATACTAGACTAACATGACACGTCAGCACCAAGCGTCCTACATATTATACAAACATTTTTTAAAAGGATTATTTCCTCTTAATATGTCCCTCGCGTTATCTCCTCCTATGGATTTACCATTAAGCAAAATAAGCACGTGATTAAGGCATCATGGGGGTGGATGAGGGGGGTAACGTCATACGGTCCTGCTCTATCCGGATAATTAAAAGACAGCAATAATCCGCAAAAGTTGATGGCTATCTGGAAAACAACAAACAACGAAGGTGAGTAGTCACTGCGCATGCATCTCAGTTTAAGACAAGATTGACCAGGCACAAGAACCTCATCCCAAACGCCACCTGGTGTTTGTATTTCTTCAGATATTTGATTAGGATAAGAATAAAACAGCTTACTTGAGGAACGGTGTGCTGATTGATTACTAGTAATTGAACGGGTATTACATGTACATACATATCACAAACTTGCATATCGAAATACAATTATAATGCTGTCAAAGATATTCTTGTCCTAACCCCCAAATTTGAAAAAATAATAACATTTGCTTTAGAAATCCTCAGTGCTGAATAGTTGTTTACACGACCAGTTTTTCCAATACAAGAAAATCTACGTTTAAATAATTGCGCCGGTGGACGCGGAGGTTTGCATTATCCAGTGAAATAAAGCCGGGATTTGCTCTTTAACAAGCTATGGTGGACAGATGACCGGACAGACGAGTAAAATATACGATAGCGTTAAAATGTGTCCTAATAAAAATCCATGGTTTAACAAAATAACTGAGATGTTGTTTATCTAACAAAACAGTACCAAATTTAAAATAGCTGTTTTTTTTTTTTTGTTTTTTTTTTTGTAAACAATATTTTATTTCAAATTTATGAAAAGGGGCCAGGGAACAGGCATAGCCTATATCACCCCTCTCCTCGTACAAAGAATATAAAACATATAATAAACAGATCTGCTATGTACATACTATTAAATAATGGTAAAAAACATATAAATTAGATAAGTTATATACACACTATTTATAACAAGTGAAAAAAGAGAAAGTGCTATTTTTAAACTTGAATTAAAATTGTTCTGAGTAAATCAGATATTGAATCGTCTGGTGACATCAAAGTATTCATGAACTAATTTAAAAATGTTATTTGATGTAGTCTGATTTTCTATGCCAAAAAGAAGTGGTTTAATGGTTTGCTGGTGGGATGGTAAGAGATTTATAGTGTTTTCCGTGCATCTGAATACAGTGGGCACCAGCGGAGAAAATGTTCAGAATCTTCAAAGCGATGACCACAGCTACATGATGGATCCTCAGAGATTTGTCGTAAAATTTTGTGCCCGTTTAGGTCGCTACAAGAAAGCCGCAATCTACTATGTATAATCTGGTTCTTTCTTTTGCCCTGTAGAAATGAATTTGGAATAATAGGATCGTTTAGTTTTAGATTTTGTTTGAAAGTAGTGAGAGACGGAGAAATTCTTATATTGATATCAAGTTTGTTCCATTCTTTTGTTGATGAGGGTCCGAAAGCGTTCGAAATTTTTTTTGTTCTACATTGGTATTCTGAAAGATTGTCATTGTTACGAAGATGATAATTATTGGGTCGGTACAGTATTAAGTATTTTAGGTACGCATATTTCAGGTCATTAATGATTTTATAAATAAGTGTCAGGTTGTGTCGTTTGCGTCTTTCTTGTAGCGTAATAAACCAGGTTTCGGTATATAAGAGTTTATGGCTGGTACCTCTCACAGCCCCAGATATAGTTCTAAGTGCATCTAATTGTAAGTTTTCTAGTTTGTTAGTATGCTCATCGTGCACCCATCCCAGATTACATCACAGTAGTAATCGAAATGGGGTAAAATAAAGGAAGTGTACAGAGTATGCAGGGATTTTCGATTAAGACTATATTTGAGTGACCTTAAGGAGTTAATTAATTTGCTTGTTTATCCAATCTAATTACAATACATATCTATATTTCGTTCCATTTTTTATACTTTCGCTGGCCTCCCCTACATAAAGATCTGACGGGTTGTATTGGGGTCATACAAGTGGCTTTTGACTCTATGACGTCAGAATTTTATTAACCAAACCAATCAGCGTTGATGTTTCGAGTGAATCACCCATAATTCCGTGAACCGCACGTCAAGAACTCGCCGAAACAGAACGTTTCATTGGTTAATCCTTCACATCAACCAGAACGCGGGTTATATAACAACTCTTCAAGAGTCTAGTGTTGTAAAGACAAGTAAAACGAATTTTTAACTATAAAAAATGAAAAGGAAAAAATATCTGTGTTTAACCAGATTGGGGTTTATCCAATATTTACATTTCTTTTACAGTTATAAAAATGTTAAATATCATTTCTCCAAATGAAACAAAGCGTTCTTCTGGGTTATTCACTTGATCCCATGTTATAAATCGACTCCATCCATCACCGCTTTCCGGACCTTCAAACGTAAACGACCTTTTTTCCGTCATTGCCTTATCATGACTTAAGCCATGTCTCAGGAGGTAGACCCTAATGAGTGCATTCACAGGAGTGCTACCCCCATCCCCGATACTAAAATACACGCCAAGTTGCTCAACCGGATCTGGCCTATTTTCACAATCCTTGCATCTTTTAACATCCCGTCTGAATGAAGAATTACAGATACAACCCTTCCCCCGTTTAACTACCAATCTGAATGAGTAATTACATATCTTGAACTCACGACTCGTACGGGATTCCCAAAGTTTCAAATCAGCGTTGAACCTTTCTTGAAATTTACCTATTTTTGTCCGAATCAATTTACCAAAACGGTCCTCACCAATGTTGAACTCTATGTTTGTGTAATACAAACATGGGATGCCCTTGTTGTAGATGGCATTGATGTCTTCTGTCAACAAGGTTATGGCTTCCATCATGTCCACTTCACGCAGCATTTGTATTTCCTTAAGTTTCTTTTCAACAACAAGAGCATCTTTTTGTGAATCCTGTAACGTTTCCATTACAGTAGTTAGATGACTCAATTCCGTTTCAAGATTATCAGTTACCGACTCCTTTAGCCTATTTTGCTTTTCCAGGATTAACTCCATAACTTGGTCAATCTTTTGGCATTGCTCCTCCGACCTTATCTTTCTTTCTTCTTTTATTTCTTCGCATATAGCGATTTCTCGGTTTAGCATATTCTGGGCAGACAACAATTTATCCTGCAAGTTTCTAATTGTACACTTAGAATGATCGTCGTAGTATTCCATAGTTTATCCTGAAAGTAAATAGATAGAACTTGATCGTCCATAGGTCCCCGCTTTGAACAAAGCTCTGTTAAGCTCTCCTACGCTTTGAGTCAAGCTTTGCTGAACTTTGTTGCGCTTTGTTATAAGCTTTGATACCCTCTCGGCGCTTTAATCAATTCGTAACAGAGCGCCCGAAATTTTGAAACGGTCTTAAAAGTCGTTGGCGCTCTTGCCGAATGTCCCGCTTTGCTCAAAGCTTTCCCACGATCTATTAACGACCCTGACGCTTTAGTCGAGCTTTGTTACGCTTTGGTGCCGCTTTGCACGCCGCTTTGCACGCCGTCTGACGGCCACATTTATGTTAATTTGTAGGCATTGGGCCTGTTATTAACATACACTGGTTACCTCTAATAAAAACAGCAATGCATTTCCGCAGTTTTGTGTTGTTTCTGAATATCCCCTACTTTTTTGAAGAGTGTATAATGATCTTTAACCACACCTATCTAATATATAATGATCTTGAACCACACCCACCTAATATATAATGATCTTGAACCACACCCACCCAATAGTACGCCTCTAACAAGTGTGAACGATGCGGGGGGGGGGGGGAGGTTAAGCCTATATAGAGGTTAAATAGGTGATGCCTAAACTGGATCGGATTATGGTTAGGGTTTAAACTTCGTACAATCGGGGCACGGAGAATCCCGACAACTTATTGACGTGAAAAAAGCACCTATTATAGATAATCTTGATACATATGTTGTACTTATCTCTATTAAATTTAACATACCTTATTTCTCTCTGTACTGTGTGCTGTCAACAACAACAGATAACTTTAAATAGTAACATACGTCCTGATTACAAAACAAAACTATATACAAGGCTTTCCAAGAAGTGAACTTTCGATTTATTTAATACAAAGGAATTGAATAGATCACAGTGATCAATGAAATGAAATGAAATGGGGTTTAACGTCCTACTGTTCTGCTCCTATACTGGGCTAATGAAGACGGGCATACGCCATACAGTGTGCTATGAGGGAAATTTTGCCCGGGCAGCGGCACTATCGCCTACTCTTATATCGAATTCCAACTGCCAGGGGATCTTTTACGTGCATTCCAATATATACACGGGACCTCGGTTTTTCGTCTCATCCGAAGGACTAGACAGCTGTCCTTGTCAGGCCCTCCGTTCTGCACCACTGACAAGGGGAAACCACGTCGAAAAATGTTGATGAACTTTCTCGGCCAATGCAGGGATCGAACACCCGACCTCCAGGCTAGCGAGCCAGCGTCTTAACCAACCAGCCACCGTGGCTCCACACAGTGATCAATGACTTATATAAATATATTATAGATTGTAATAATCATACTAGACAAACATGACACGTCAGCACCAAGCGTCCTACATATTAAACAAACATTTTTTAAAAACTTGATTTACTCCCCCGTGTCAGTGATGCAGATCCCGTGTACACGTTGACGTATGTGTCAGGGCAAAATTTTCATCGTTGCAGAACGTATGGCGTAGTGTAGCCCAGTGTGAAGTTCATTTTATTTCATTTTATTCCATTTTATTTACTTGTAACACACCCGGGGTTATGATTCCCTGCGAACAATCTTTTTTCATATTTACGGAATTATAAAACGCCATATAGATCTAACTTTCTGTCTGCCACATTTTACAGTTTTGGAAAGCAAAAACTTCGATTGAAGATTTGACATATGGACGCATAAGTTTTAGGTATGTTTAAATCATTGGTTTTGGGTATGTTTAAAGACTGGATTAATTCACTCAGTTCATCAGTTTTAAGTATGTTTAAAGACCGGAATCCAACACTCAATTCATCAGTTTTAAGTATGTTTAAAGACTGGACTAATTCACTCAGTTCACCAGTTTTAAGTACGTTTAAAGACTGGATTAATTCACTCAGTTCACCAGTTTTAAGTACGTTTAAAGACTGGATTAATTCACTCAGATCATCAGTTTTAAGTATATGTATAGAAATGGACAAGCTTTGTTTATAATTGAGTAATAATATAGCTACTTTAACGCTCCGTCAGTTTCTAGGCTGTATTTGTGAACGTTTGGGTTATTTGCGTATACACGAAATGAAATGAAATGGGGTTTAACGTCCTACTGTTTTGCTCCAAACTGGGCCATACAGTGTGCTATGAGGGAAATTTTTCCCGGACAGCGGCACTACGGCCTACTCTTATGTCGAATTCCAACTGTCAAGGGATCTTTTACGTGCATGCCAATGTGTACACGGGACCTCGGTTTTTCGTCTCACCCGAATGACTAGACAATTGTCCTTGTCAGGCCCTCCGTCCTGCATCACTGACAAGGGGGAACCACGCCGGAAAATCTGGATGAATTTTCTCGGCCAATGCAGGGATCGAACACCCGACCTCCAGGCTAGCGAGCCAGCGTCTTACCCACTACGCCAAGGTCTGTCATTGGGTTAACTGGTATGGTTTCGATTCCCTGGTTGTACGTGACAAAGAGTAGAGTCGCCTGTCCAATCCCGTAGGTTTTCTCCTGGGTCATCCGGTTTCCTCCCACTGCTAAAGGGAATTATTGAAATAAAAATGAACCATATGCTAGTCCCGAAATGACCAAGTTTGTGAGGTTAACCCCCCTCTCTCTCTCCCTCTCTCTCTCTCTCTCTCTCTCAAGACCTGTTCTGGAAGCAATATGTTGGCATCACCATATATTTTGACAGAGATGTGTTTAATGTTTTGACATGAATGACTACCAATGGTTAATTAATGTTAATTACTTGTATCTATCAGAAGAAGTGTCTCTGTGATTATCGACTAGATACAAACTGTTATACACTCTTTTTGTTCTAATTGAGGCTTTGGATTGACAATGTCTGGCCAAACTGTTTGTGATCTTTAGATTTAATTGAAAATGATTTTAATCAAAACATACCGACACTTGAAGATGAATACATCGTAAAGTTGACTTCATGTGAAATTCAGAAAAAATTGCTTGTCTGTTCATCTTTATTAATACTAAGTGTGGCGTGAAGGTTCGGTTGTTTAATGATGTACGTTGGTAATGGGGTGGGGGTGATTGTGCAACACCCTTTAATATTCTAATAAATAATTTATTCAACCAAAATAATTCTGTTTTTTTAGGTGCGGGGTGGGGGTGGTAACTTGGATTTGGATTTTGGTAACTATATTTCGAAGACTGTATTTCCACAGCTAGGCACTGAATTCTTTCAGCTATAGGGGATAATGTGGGGACCCAGAGATGGCCACTAGGTCTGGTAGGATCCCCATGCCTTTAGCACAGAGAGACGTACGGTCAGCGAGTCATTGCTTGTTTAGACCTTGTCTATTGTCGCTTGATTGTGGGAATGAAATGAGGTTTTGCGTCCTGCTTTTCTTTAACAACTGGGCCAGTGCAGACGGGCATATACCAAACGGTGTGCTGTGGGGGAAATTTGGTCCAGATAGTGGCGTATCCTCCTATACCTTCCTCGCATTTCAACTGACAAGGCGTATTTTCATTACAATACAACGTATACACGGGACCTCGGCTTTTCGTTCCTTCAGAAAAATTGGACGCTATTCCCTGTCACACGCCCTTCATCGTGTGCTACTAGCAAGAGAAATCCACGATAAAATATACAGAAAAAAAATTTGGGGCCAACACCGGGGTCGAGCCCAGGGCCACCTGGCTAGTGGGTCAGTGTCTCCCTGGGCCATCGTGGCTTAAGATGACGTCAAATAAAGATAAAGACAGACCATTATGCCACTCAATCGCCATCTGCGCTTTTTAATCCAACCTATCCCTGTCTCTTGACTGCAAACTGGAATAAACTTTCTTTTTACATGGCCGTGTTTAATCAGTTTGAAAAATTGTGAAAATGTAGGCGTTTTTTCGAAATGGTATATAGTATTTATTTTTTTGAGATTAATATCATTTTCTAACCGTCGTGGCGATATTACAAACCAGTGCAGTGTACACATGTAGACCGTTATCTCGTTATCTCGGCCTGGGATTTCTCTCCATGCCATCTTCTTTTATTTACACAAATTCATAAACATTTGTGTGTTCAAATCAGATTGTGGGGGGAAATGGGAAACATTACCCCCTTCACCCTCAATTCATCGAGCTTAAATTTCTAGTATCCTAGGAAACCAATAATCTATTCTTTACAATATTAGCAGGTAAAGGAGTGCGTTTAAGAAAACTGACTGTGTATATAGAACTTGTGTTCTAACATGTAGACTGGATATGTATTCATAACTCACGACTAGCATATATACCACCGCTAAACGATCATACGGACCATACTCGTTCAAGCCCAGCCAATCAGAATGCCCCAATCGTTATCTCTGTCATCTACAGCAAATGGTCCTGTGTGGTGTTTAGTTAGCTTCATAGTATTAATACACGGGCCTCTTACTCCCGACACTTTATAACCGTGCTTCTCTTCGTCAAGGATCCCCTTTCTTATTAGTAGTTTGATAAACATACGAGGGGTGAGGATTCCTGTACCCCCATCCCTCCAAGGAACGATGACGACATGGTTGTGTTTAGCTGTTGGCTGGTGTATTGTGTCTTTAAGTAGAGGTAAGGCTTGCTTGCTTATTGATTCTGTAGCACTTGACTCGTCAAATAACGTAGGTTTTTGTATCAAAAGCGTCTTTATGCTTCATATACCCCGCCTTCAATAGAGCCGCTTTGTATCTAAACATTTTACGTCTTAAGCCTTTTATGTCGATTTTCCCCTATTCTGTTCAAGCTTTGTATGAATTTAGAAACTATTAACTTAGAGGGCAGTTCATCAATTCATCTGCGAACACTTATACCAACAAGTCAAGATGCTTTACAAATTGTTTATTAACAGGATCACCATAGAAATAATCTTGAGATTAAATTAAAACACTTTTCAAATAGTGCATTGCTTTGTTGAAAGTGTTGACATCCCATTTCATGAAATACCCTTTAGTAAATCAAGTTGTTGAAATTGGAGTTTGAAAAGATGTGATTTCAAAAGGTGGGGTATGTTATGAATAGTAATGGTGGCTAGGTAATCCGTGATATCAAAGGTGAACTAATATCAAGTTAATATTTATTGATAGGGATAATATTTGCCTAAATATTGTGTGTTTTGTTTAATAACATTAAATAGGTGTTTATTTTACATATAATAATTATATTAAAGTATCACTTGTGTGGGTAGCAATCTGCATCCACGGAACAGTAGTCCCGTGTTTTCAGGCTAATATTGTTCATGTCATTAAAACAAGACACGACATTGTAACAGTACTGTCATATTACATACAGCAACTTGTTCAATATCCGGCGACATTTCCAAATGTCCATTATTCCGGCGACAATTCCGTATAATATTATGATCATTATTCCGGCGACACTTCCAAATGGTCATTATTCTGGCGACATTTCCAAATGGGCATTATTCTGGCGACATTGCAAATGGTCATTATTCCGGCGACTATTCTACATACATGTATGTTCATTATTCCGGCGACACTTCCAAATCGTCATTATTCTGGCGATATTTCCAAATGATCATTATTCAAGCGACAATTAATAATTGACAATAACTGTATAGAATAAAAAGTATTCTGATGTATATTATGAACAACAAAACTCGTGTTTACATCTGTAGAATAACTAGCATTCTAACTGTTTAGGCTTCGATACTTGCAATATTCTTTAATAATACCGACTGTTTATTGCTATACAGCGTCACTAACTGTAAACAAACGTCCATTTATGAATTAGTCTTTTCAAACTCGGCTAAGTAAGAAGTAACGTAAGTTTCCTGATTTAAAGTATATTAAGATTCTAAAAAGATTTGTGCAACCGGAAAATGTAGATCATGTATAACACCATTTTGTTCGCCAAACTATGGAATCATTCGGAAGTGACTCTTGAAAATATAGATCTTCGTCAAAACCATTGTGTTCACCAACTGTGGAATTATTCGGAGTTGATTCTTGAAAATATAGATCTTGTACAAAACCATTTTGTTATCCTAACTGTGGAATCAATCATTATGGACAATGTGCAAATAAAGTATTTATCTCTGTCTATTTTTTAAATCTCAAGGATTGTGTATTGATAACCATTTGTAAATAATTTTCATCGTTAGCCCTATATAATATGTCCTACACTTTATGTTAACTAGGCAGACAAACATGCTGTATCACCGATAGATAGAGAGTTGGCTACAAATTTGATACTTTCCTCTCGTTTTTTTCGTGAAAATGAGTGAAATATTTTTGAACAGGAGCACACTCAATGCAAGGCACTTTGTGTAAGTATTTTGTTTTGTGAAAGGGGAGAACAGCGTATATTAAGTAGAAGAAGAATTGTAAATTCTTTACTTGGTTTTTAAAAAACCAAAATGAAAATAAACGAAACGAAATTTGAAAAGTGTTGACCATTAATTTGATTTGTATAGATGTTGGTTGGTTTTGAGAAATTGTCGAATTGGACGTTTCGAATCTGAAGGTTCCTAATAATGCGACTTACAGAACGGTCGATCAAATCCAAAATTAAAGCGACCATCTGCAGTATAAAATAAAACCTACGTAAAACCCTACGAATGAACGGACGAACGATTGTCCTTCAATTCAATTAAAGATGGATTATTCAAGAACTAAATCTGCCTATTGCAGGTCTTTCTTTGGGCCTTTAATGTTATATAAATTATTAATTAGACATTTATTAAAGCGACAAGACCATAATCGACTCTCGATAACATCGGATCTCGAGATATTCAACCGATTTATAAACGATTGATGGTTAATGATTTAATTAAAAAGTGGATAATCGAGACTTAGAAGTAATTTGATTGAAATTTTCAATATATTCCCTTTTCATTATCTATTTTCTTACTCTTCTAGCGAGAACTGTCAGCTCTTTATCTAAATCTTACATAATGTATCTTTAATATTACAATTTGACGATTAGGGTGTCACTTTACGAATGATATCTAGATAAGAGATGACAATAAGGACTAGAATAATAGTTTATATTGTAATAATGGTAATAACAATCAACATGTACTTATTAATCTATATACATATCATTGTCAAAATGTGAAAGATTAGAGATCAAGAGATCAGTTAATTACTTCATTACAATTAATTAATGCTTATATAAACAAATCAATGTACATATCCTAACTACATGTACATAGAGATATACCGTGATGTCTAATTGTTACATTTCCTCAAATCATAATTTACGGTTGCATTAAATCGCGTTAAAAACGCATGGAATATTAAATACAATTAATAGGGCCGTATGCTAGTATACACAATTGAATATATGTATTACCACGGACCTTATAATACAAGGTCCATGGTAAATACATAATCTTTGAATGACATTTAGCGATTGAACATAATTTAACAGAGGTGATATATGTATAGATTTATTAAGGACTACACACAAAATGATGACACAAATAAATGAATTATGTGATAGACATTTTGAGGACAACACGCACAAAATGATGACATAACTGAATATATGTGATTGATATTTATTGGGGACTACACACAAAATGATGACATGGATTATTTGATAGATATTTATTAATGACATCACACACAAAATGATGACATAAACGAATATATTTGATTGATTTTTATTGAGAACTACACACAGAATGATGACCAAAGGCCGTTCTAAGTGATATGTTCTTGTAAATATTGTGCCATCTTCAGACAATTTAGAACAGACTATTGTAAACATAAGAAAACACTTAACCTAATATATATTCTTTAGAAAAAAGTGTTAATTTCATTTATTAATTTACATAACGGCTACAAAATTGAAGTAAACTCGTTCAAATGCAACCAGCTTCAACCTCATGTGGCATTAGTTTGTACTCAGTTCATCCTTTTGTAATCAAAATACGTGTATACATTTTCAGCGAACAGACAGAAACGCTTCTGGACAGAAGTCGAAAAATACTTTTTTCATTAATATGTAAAGTCGACGCGAATATTGAATATGACATGTAAATAATTTCAAAGCTTTTCATGTTGGCTTTATTAATATTGACATTGTAATCCAGACATTAAAAGCTAGTAGTTAAAGAAGCGGGTTGGTTGTGTACTTTGTTTTTGTTTAAAAGTTTTTGGATATCTATGACTTGAAAAAAGGGATAGAGAGAGGAAATTATTTTGCACCGAGTAGCCTTGGGAGTCTATAGATGCGCTAATGGGGAAGGTGTTTTTAAAGCTAAGAGTTTAAGTGAAGCGGCCACGTTTTATGCTGATAGGACATCAACTTATATTAAATCAAAGCGTTTTGTGGCGCTTTGCCCTTGCTTTATGCTCGAGTTGCTTAAATCGTGTGGTCTTCAAAGGAGTAGGGCTAACAAGGGCGAGTAACTACCAACTGATGAACAAACCCCCGCTACCTCACTGTTTGTTTAAGGTGACTCTCTTTACTGTGTTCGGGGTTGCTTGTTTGTATACGGTTGTCGTAAAGTCAAAATGGAGCTACCGGTTTTTAGTGTTGGTCACGCGTCCAATCAATGCCTACATTTAATATTTTGTGTGTTGTTGATAAATTGTGAATGTGCTCAAAATTTTTTTTAACACCCTCCCTCTCTCGACTTAAAATAGATTTCTTTTTTTGGATCGAATTCTTGTACTGAAGCAGGTCACATAACTAGGTCCGCTTGAACATTGAGGCCCTTATAAATGACGAGCATTATAATGGTGTTAAAGCTAATCACTGTATTTAAACTCTCAAACTCGTGGAATTATTTATGTTTTAAAATACGTCTTTATAAATAAGGCCAGACAAGAAGAGTTTCTAGTCGTTCGGATGGGGTCAAAAACCGAGGTCCCATGTGCACGTAAAAGAACCCTTCGAACTAATAAATTCCATTTCATGATCAAAAATCCCGAGTCTTGTCTAACATCTACTTGAACTATTTAAATTTGTTTTTCATTTTAAAAATCCAGTCTGTATCTTTTTAATGGATCGGTGAAATGATCTCAAAATTTTCACACGAACTAATTGTATAGTAATGTCAGAAATGAGCCATATTTGTCTTTGAGCATCGTCAAATCATGGACACCTCTTTAAGAAAATGTAAGTTGATGCGATTTATCGTCTGTATCTCGGTAATGGATCGCCGGATTAACCTCAAATTCTGCTCATTATCTAATTATTCAGTAAAATCGGAAATCAGGTTTTTTAAGACCATGAAACCCCTTTACACCGTGGTGTGTTTATAGGCAAGATCTTAATGACGTGACTTATTGTTTAGAATACCTGGGTCCACATCTCGGTAATTGACCCACATAAACACCCCAAATTATGAAAACGATGTAATACATAGTTAAATCACTTATCATTACCAATCCGTGTTTTAATCAGATGACTACATACCGACCACGATTTCTAGATCAAATCAAATCAAATTTAATGGGATTTAATTCCTACTTTTCGGCACTGAATGGGCTAATGGAGACAGAAATACGCCATACAATGTGCTATGAGGGAAATTTTGCCCGGACAGCGGCGCTACGGCCTCCTTTTTACGTCCCATCTGACCGATATATCTCCCCCCT